TTTTTTATCCTATTTTTAGTCATGATTTAGATCCTTAAAAAGTATCACGGTTTGACTATAAAAAGTCTCTAGAAAGTACCACGGTGTGACCATAATCGTAATGAAATCATACAAATAAATGTAATTGTTTTTCTTTGAATTACCTTACAGTGCTTACCAGAATATAGAAATCTAACAGTACCATGGTATTACTGTCACTGAAACATGGTACTGTCACAATCATTTTGTTAGGGTTATAAAGGTTTCGATTTGAGCAATATATATTTACAGTATACTTACAGTTACTGTGCAATCATTCACCTTTCTTGAAATAAGTAGCCTACAAGCCAGTTTCATCTTCACACACGTTCTTGACTTGTAACTGCACACTTGTTTAAGATGGCAGGAAGGCGGCCATTTTGTTTGGTCCTTTTCCCTCCCTTTCATGCTTTGCTAGCAGACAACATGTAGCGTTATTTAAAAGCGGACAGCTGGGAAAGCTGCGTTCAAATGCAGCGATTTACTTCAGGCAATTAAACGGCATGCAACACCACAGGCGTGTGAAGAGTGCAAAGAGAAAACAGGCACTATTTCCTCGTGCGGCTCACCTCTGCTTCATGCCAGGAGTTCTCCTTCAGGCTGAACAAATTAGCACGCTGCTACTGCCGACTTGTAATTGTTGATTATTTCGCTAATCTTTTAAAAGAAAATCAGGAAGACACAAAGAAGGAAATACTGAAATAGAACTTCCTTCTGCACTTTGAAAGTCATTGTGAACGACAAGAAATGGGGAGATGGAGCCAGTGTTTTATTTTAAAATCTATGATTATTTATATTTTTTATTGATTTTAGTCAAGTAAACAGACAATATATAAATTGTATATTTATTGTTAATATATGAATATGTATATGGGTCAAAGACGAAAAAAGGGTTTAAGCATAAAAACAATAAGTGTAATACTGCTTTAAATTTTTGATGTCCCCCCCGCCCCTCCCAAAAAATTCTGTTTAATTTAATTGCAATTTTGTTTTTGTTTTTCTGAGCAAAAAAAGAAATATCATAAATTTTCCCCCGATTTACAGAAGAGACCCACTAAAATGTCATTCAGTGTAACAATCTTGTCAGGCACATTTACAACAAAAATCAATTTATGACATATTAAAAGACTAATTACTTTCACCTCAAATACTAATTAGTTGTAATTTTACATTTTTAAAATTTGCAACTATCCTAGGTTTTGCCCATTTGTCAGTAAGAATTTTTTACTTATTTAAAACACAATCAAATTTAATATGCTCCCTTATTCTTTTATATATTTTAATATGTACACGTCAGAATAAGCATGTTGTTTGAATTTTTACATAAATATTGTGTTACACTGAATGACAATGTAACATTATTTCAACCAAATTTTGACATTTTATTCTCCAAAAACTTATTTGAAACCATAAAAGTAGACACTTGGTAGTTACCTTGCTGTCTATGGGAGGGTCAGAGAGCCCTCAGATTTTGATGACGAAGATGAACAAAGGTCTTACGGGTTTCAAACAACACGAGGGTGAGTAATTAATGACAGAATTTTAATTTTTCGGTGAACTAACCCTTCAACTTGCATTTAATGTGCTTTCTATGGACATAAAATCACTTTTGTAAATTTCTTTTGATGCGGACATCTTAATGTCTTTGACCCATATATGCATAATGATGAATGAATAAATAATTTTTTAATAAATAATAATTTTTAGATCAATAAATGTAGGTTTTTAGATAAATGATAATTTTATAAATTAAAAGAAATAAATAAAGCAAGCCTTTTAATGTAATTTTAAATAATTTTTTTCTCCCTCTTTCTTTCATCCCTGTGCAGATTCGGTGAAGAAACGACATCCACGGCATGTTTGTTTCTGTCCCTAAAGCTGAGGTAGTAGATTGAATAGTTGTGGAGTATAAAACCTCCCTTTGAGATAACTATACAATCTACTGTCTTTCTTACGGAGGCAGATTAACCAGCTGTCTACTGAAGAAACGGCGTGAAACACTTTAAATGATGTTTTAAGCTACTTCAGTTGTCCTCATTTATAGCCTATATCTTCTCCATTCTGAAGCGGTGCTCCTGTGAACCTGCAGATCTGTGTGTCTCCACAAGCTGAGGTAGTAGGTTGTATAGTTTGTGGGAAGGATCTCATCCTATTCAGGTGATAACTATACAGTCTATTGCCTTCCTTGAGAGACACAATGAACGAGAGTAAAAACACATCATTATAAACAACGAGAGACAGAGTGACTGGAGTATCTTTAACCGGTCTACTTGTAAATGTTAAAAGTAAAATTGGTCAATAAAAAACTAGTATTAGTAAAGTATCATACTGTTGTATGCATATTGTTATACATACATACATATTGTTATCATTCTTAGTTTATTCTGCACTGTTACTTTCATTTTAAAAATTGTATTTTGCTACTATATTTTATTTTGCAATACTGCTATTTTATTTGTTAATATGATTCATTTTTATTTTGAAATTCAGAATGTGTTATTGCATCGGCAATGCAGTTTTGGTCATCCTGATGAAGCACATTAAAATTACTGTCTTTGATTTATATATAAATATATATATATATATGTATATATACCTTGACCCTCTAAAACTAGCACTCTCTATTCTATTTCTATTGTTTTATTTTTATTTATTTATAAAAAAAAGGACCCTCTAACACTAGTGTTGTCTATTCTTTTCTATTCTATCTACTTGTTTTTTATTTTATTTATTATTTATTTAATGTACCGCGTTACACTGGAACTTGTCATAGCACTTACATATTACTGCCCTTGTTGGTTTGATTGCTTCTTTTGTTCTCTTTTTTTTTAAGTCGATTTGGTTAAAAGTGTCTGCTAAATTATTAAATGTAAATGTTAAATTTAAAGGTGACATATCATGAAAATATGACTTTTCCAGGTTTGAAGTGTTATAATCTAGTCCCCAGTGCATCTACCAACCAAGGAAACGTGAAAAAGATTAACCCAGTAACTTTGTTTTGAGAAGCCTTTTTCTGCAAGCGTCTGAGAAAACTAGCGCGTCAGATTTCACTCCCTTGGTGATGTGGCAAAGGGATCTCATTATAATGTTACCGCCCCTTAATCTGTAAACTTCCACTCAAGGCGCAGAGTTGCCAAATCCGCGTATTATACGCGACTTTGGGCTTCTTTTTTGTAAAGTTGTGTGAAAAAATCCCGGGTCACGGTTTTTTGGGCTTATTTTAAAAATGATGGTTGCTTGTTAGGAAAACCTGACAAGTAACTTCGTTTCTTTTCATTTATGTTCACTGTATTCTCCAATGCATTGATTGACACTCTGTCTGCTCACAGTTAATAGCCAATCAGTGCAAAAATATAAGTGCTGTAGCATAATTTGTCAAATATTCCGCCCCCTCCGCACGCGCCTTCTTTTTGAACGTGATTTTTCTTCAATGAGGGATTGAAGAAAAATCACGTTCAAAAAGATGGCGTGTGACGCTGTAATCCAAGCGATGATAGTAGTAGACGTGGAGGAGTGGGATGACTTTTTTCCTTTATAAGGTAGCCTAATTTTACATTTTTACAATGTTTTTGTAATGTATTATCACGGGCTGTAAAAAAACAACAACAAAAAAACAAGTAGGCCTATACTAATACTAAGAGTAGATTTGGTTTGAATAGCCAATATTTTAGTAGGCTATAAATATGTGGCTATGTTACAGTTCCCCTTTGAAGCTCTTGTGTTTTTCTCCTTTTCCATCTCTCCGATCCTATTCTGCTCACTGGTGATTGGAGATGAGTTTTGTTACTGCTTTGTTGCAGTTTGCTGATTTTTGTAAAATAACTTCTGTTTTTGCTTTTCAGATAAAAGGGTAGTTTCAGTTTAATATGTTGCGGACTCATTTATTAGTGATAAATAATTGATAATAAATAATATTGATGATAATAAATTATCAAAAAATATTTGGCTTGTTTTGGGCTTGTTTTTGAAGCTGCGGTGTGAGAGTTGGCAACAGTGTCAAGGCGCAGTCATTTTGATTTCGCAAGCGACAATGGTGTACCAGTTCTAATACTATGGCGAAAGTTTGAGCAAAACATGCTAACTGTTCTGTCTTTGGCTGCACAGACGAGCACAGAACACTGTTTAGAGTC